CCCCCCCCCCGCCGCCCCGGCCTCCGCCGGAGGGAGGGGCCGAGCGCCCTCGGGGGGCCGTGGACCCCGGCGTTCTGAGCGTTCCGCGCCCCGCGCCGCCCGGCCCCCCCGCCGCCGATGGCCGCCGACCCGCCGGGAGCTGCCGAGAAGGGAGAGATGGCTCCCGGGACACGTGTGAGGTGGGTTCATGCGACTCCTCCTCACCCCCAGACCTAGGCAGCTCCCACTCCCATTCATCCTCAGCCCGGCCTCTCGCTACCTTCCCCGCCCCCAGCCTCACCCTCTCTTCGCTCCAAACTCTTCTCCTGCCCTCCTTCCTATTACCTCCCAGCCCTGGGGAACTGGCCTTCCTTCCTAGACCCTGCTTCCCCTTGCAGACCCCCACCCCCGCCTGCAGTGGCCGCCCCCCCGGCCCCTCCCCCCGAGCCCCGGCGGGGCCCCTCCCCCTTGCAGACCCCCACCCCCGCCTGCAGTGGCCGCCCTCCAGGCCCCTCCCCTGGAGCCCTGGAGGGCCCCTTACCCTCATGGATGGGTCTGGAAGTCCCTGGAAAGGGGGAAGCTAGGGTAAGACTGACTGGGAAGAGATCCTCCAGGCCTGCTGAGTCTATGGGATCGTGGAGGATCTGGTTTCCATGGGAAAGGGAGCAAAGGGATTGTAGACAATTAGGGATGAAAAGCAGCCTGGGAAGTTGAGGGGGGAGGGTCTAAGACTGAGCCCATCCTGAGTTCAGTGAAGATGTCAGGCTGGATTCTAGAATCTCAGGGAATCTGGGAGATTGCCCAGGGATCCAGGAGGAAGATGTCTTGGAGCAGAGGGAGCTCTGTGGGGAGCAGAGGAGTTGAGATCTTGGACTGAGAAGAGACTTAAAGAAGCAGCTGGGGAGGTGGTGTCAGAGCCCTGGGAAGTTGGGGGGCAGGGTGGATCGGTAGGGATGGGGAGGACAAGGATCCCATTGGCTGTGGTGAGATTTGGGGGAAAAGACTGGATGGTGATTGTGTATGAGAAAGATAAAGGAGAGAGGGAGAAAGAAAGGTCTGGAGCTTCCACCCAGGATTCTGTAGGTATCTTTGAGGAGGATCTAGGGGATTTTAGGTTGGGGAGAGCCTGGGGTGTTTTACATTTGGATAACAGAGGAAGAGTTGGAATCTCTCTGAAATAATACCGCCATCTAGCAGCCCCTGGCCTTTCCAAAGAACTTTGGTGTGGGGATGTCAAAGGAGAGGGCCCCAGTGTCCGTTCTTCCTCGGGTAGAGAAGGGCACTGAGGAAATGTTACAGGAGTGCCTTCAGGAAGCCAGTTCTCAGGCTCCTACAGGAGCCAGATGGATGAGCTGCTGCAGCCAGAGAGGTCTTGAGTGGAGGGAGTGGTCCTTCCCCCAGACACACACCCAGGGGGGGTGACCTCTTTTCCCATTGGGTAAGAGGGCAAGCTCTGGCGGCCTATGTGGGGGAGCTGCCAGGAGTGTCCTAGACCAGGGCCCCAGTGGGCCCATCTGGCTCTGCCACCATCCA